TTTCAGTCACCAAACGATTGCCACCGCTTTTAGTGAATTAGATATACCACTACCGCTAGTAATGGGTTTAACGCTATTATGTGTTATGTGTTTATACGCCGATTATTATGTGTGGACAACAATCAGGGCATTGAAAGCATCGAAACTTACCATTGAATCCGATGTCAAACATTTGGCTCAACAAATGAATGCACAGAATATTAGGTTTGTGTTTAATTTTAATATTTTGTAAAATATAAATTTAATTGAAATTATTATATAAACAGATGTTCAGCGAGTGATTCCTCTTCAAGTACTTCATCGATCGGATCCCACATTCAATTGACCACTAATTCAGACAAAACCAGAGATGAGATCAATATTCAGAAAATGGTAAAGAAAATTGAGAATCAAATCAAAACTCAATACTAAATGACTTACATTTTATTAAAGGCTTTGGTTATAGAGAATGAGTTATCGTTGACAGCACTCGAAGACATCAGACAATTGGCCGAAGACTCGGATGACAGCCTTAGGTATCAATAACAACTGAATGTATGTTTAACTCTGTTATTCTTATTATACTGTAAAAACATAATAAATATTGAAAAATTTTGATAGTAAAATAAGTAATAAAATAAACTAAAAGAATATTGTATTAATTATTACCGCATTATTATTGTATTCATCATAAATACGATTAGAATTTTGACATAGATTTAGTATTGTATCACTAATTGTCTTAAATCATTTGATTTGCTATATAATTGGCTGTTTTATAAGAAAAAATTATAACATAAGCCGAGAACTTAATTATTATTTTTACCGTATATTGTTATTATCTATAAATACATTAAGAATATTCACTGAATTAAACATTTACTGATTTTTAGACTAACTTTTCATTGAATTATTAATATTTCTAATGACATATTTAATCACATATTTGTTTCTCTTATAATAGATTTCAATAAATAGATATAACTAAATGTAGTCAATGATTGCTACAAAATATTGATTAAACTACTTATAAGTAAAATTATTTATCACAAACTTGTAAAACATGTAATAAATAATTAATCTGAATAACTAAATGTGATTTTAATTATAAATTAACTCTTAATTGCTATTAAGGGGGCACTAAATGCAGTATTAATATAAATCGGACGTAAGTTATTGACAATGTTTATAAACTATCAGTTGTTATGCAATAAAAGTTGTAAATAAATAATTTTGTGCACAATTTTAATAATTTTAATTAATAAATAGTATATAAATTGTATTTTAATAATAATAAAATACAAATAAATATAAGTTTTAATCAATAAATTAAGTGATTATAAGTGATGTCCCGTTGACTCACTTTCTGGCCGTTTGTCTCCACAACACGTGTCTCTTATTTACGCCATGTGTTCGCCGGCGGACGACAGGTATGTGTGGCCACAGAGTCCTACCCCTAACCCCCAGTATTGCCACATATCCTCCACACCACTCCCTATAGCCTTCTGGATCTGATTTGAGTGACAAATGTCTGTGTCTTTGCAGCCAATCGTTGACTTACGAGTCTATCATTGAGTCGTTTGTCCGCCAAAAGTCATTCAAATGCAATTACGATGAATGCGACAAAGGGTTCGCCACTCAAAGGGCATTGGATTCGCATATAAGCCGAAGACATGCCATCGATGGCAGCGCACAGTCCGGGGAACCGATCGACAGATCATCTCATGTCAGAAACCAATCATTGGGTGAAGCACTCAATGGTATACAACAGATACCAGTCATCAGTACTACTGACACTTCACCGCCGCTGATAATAACGACAATCACTACTACTTCCAGTGCTGAGAGACAATCGGTGGACAACACTTGCGATACGTATGTATTTTGTATGCACTTTAAAACATGGTATAATTATTTTTACCGTCATTTATGATCACTCAGTGCTTCCCCCGATGGCCACCAACTGAGACCAACAATCACTACCACTAGTCATACATTTCCATCGATAACAAGCACTTCCGATACCAAAGATCAGTCCCAGAGCTCAACAATCAGTACAACATTTCCTTCATTTCCAGACATAATAACCACAACCACTGCTACTTCCAGTGCCGACAGACAATCGGTGGACAATAAGTATGTGTTTGTGTATAAGTTTTAAGACATTATGAATTTTAAACACATTTTGTAAACACACAGCAGTTCTTCAGCCGATATCGAAGACCAATCGTTGACGACATTATTTGATGTCATTTATCAGACTTTAAACGCGACAACAGATGTGCCATCACTGCCACAAACAGTGACCACTTCCAGCGCCGACAGCCAATTGGTGGACATTACTAGCGATAAGTATGTGTTTTTGTCTGTATTTTAAGTAATTTTTAACCACTATTTTATTCAACACTCAAGTGATTCGGACTCTGATATCGAACTCATTGGTAGAGTTCCGGCGCCCAAACGGCCCGCACGTAACCGATCGCCCGGATTAGCTCATCGCCAGCGCCCGTCAACGTTATGACCGCTTCGGGCGCTCTGATAGACATAAACACGTTATGAAATATACGATAAATACTATAAGAGTTGTGACAATAAGCCCAAACGGCCCGCACGTAACCGATCGCCCGTTGATATCAAGCCATCGCTCATAGACTCCATACCTCTGGTGCCGGAAATAGTCAACAAGTATTGTCACAACTCTTATAGTATTTATCGTATATTTCATAACGTGTTTATGTCTATCAGAGCGCCCGAAGCGGTCATAACGTTGACGGGCGCTGGCGATGAGCTAATCCGGGATTTCGCGCCCGGCATACGAGTGCTTAGGAAGCGTAAGGCACCCGTAGATCCACGTCTGGCCGCTAAAACCACCAGGATAACTCCGCCAAACCTGAACCCGTGTCCGTACGTTGGCTGCCGCCAGACATTTAGCACCCAATCATTACTGTCCACTCATATGCGGTCCGTCCACAAAGAGTACTGGAGGGCCGGTCAGCGCTTTCCGTGCGATAAATGTCACCTCAAGTATAGCACAGGACTCGCCCTCGACAGCCATCAAGAGTTGGCGCACCCAAAGCCCACGCCTACCACTGAGACACCCTCACCAGACCTGATCCCATGCTTTTACGTAAGCTGCTGCCAGACATTTAGGACCCGATCATTACTGTCCGAACATATGCTTTACGTCCACAACGAGCAGTGGTCGGCCGATCAGCGCTTTCCGTGCAATAAATGTCACCTCAAGTATAGCACAGGACTCGCCCTCGACAGCCATCAATCGGTGGCGCACCCGAAGCCCACGCCCACCATCACTGAGAAAGCCTCACCAGACCTGATCCCGTGTCCATACATTGTCTGTCATCTGACATTCACAAGGCAACCATTACTCATATCTCATCTACAGTCCACTCACTCGAAGGAGCGGTGGTCGGCCGGTCAGCCGGCGGCCGTGCGGTGCCATATATGCGACATCAAGTATACGACACTACTGGCCCTCAACCGGCACCAGGCGTCGGCACACCCGGCGTCTACTCCAGTGCCCACACCTGTGCACCCAATGCCACCCGAACTCATAGTGTCCAACAATTATAAGATTGGCTTCACGTGTGAGAAATGTCATAAGCATTTCAATAGGATTGTGCCGCTTATGGACCACCAGCGCAAAGAGCACCCGCCGGTGCGGCCACTGCCGGTCAAACCGAGGCCCAGTCCCGGCCGACACATACCCTGTGACGCGTGCGGCAAATGTTTTGGCACCGACTCCGCCCTTCAGATGCATAAAACGGCTAAAAATCATTGAATTAATGATTAAGCCGAGAACTTATGTTACATAAGCCGTGAACTTATTATTATTAGTATTGTCTATAAATACCATAAGAATATTCACCAAACGTTTAAAACATGTAATAAATAATATATTTGTATAAATAAATGTTGTTTTAATTATAAATTAACTCCTAATTGCTATTAAAGGGGCACTGAATGCAGTATTAATAAAAATCGGACGTAAGTTATTGACAATGTTTATAAATAATCACTTGTTATGCAATAAAAGTTGGAAATAAATATTTTTGTACACAATTTTAATAATTTTAATTAATAAATAGTATATAAATTGTATTTTAATTATAATTAAATTAAAATAAACATAAGTTTTAATCAATAAATTAAGTGATTATAAGTGAGACTCACGTTGACTCACTTTCTGGCCGTTTGTCTCCACAACACGTGTCTATTGTTTACACCATGTGTTCGCCGGCGGACGACAGGTATGTGTGGCCACAGAGTCCTACCCCTACCTCCAGTACTGCCCTCTATCCTACACACTACTTCCTATAACCTTCTGGATCTGATTTGAGTGACAACTGTCTGTGTCTTTGCAGCCAATCGTTGACTTACGAGTCTATCATTGAGTCGTTTGTCCGCCAAAAGTCATTTAAATGTCATTACGACGGATGCGACAAAGGGTTTGTCAATAAAAGCCAATTGGATTCGCATATAAGCCGAAGACATGCCGTCAAAGACAACACACAGTCCGGGGAACCGATCGACAAATCATCTCATGTCAGACACCAGTCATTGAGTGCAGCACTCAATGGTATACAACAGATACCAGTCATCAGTACTTCTGAGACTTCACAGCCGCTGACAATAACTACAATCACTACCACTAGTCATACATTTCCATCGATAACAAGCACTTCCGATACCAAAGATCAGTCTCAGAGCTCAACAATCAGTACAACATTCCCACACATAATAACCACAACTACTACTACTAGTCCTACAGTCCCGACAATAACCACAACCACTACTACTTTCAGAGCCGACAGTCAATGGGTGGACATTAAGTACAATAAATATGTTTTTGAGTTTTAAGACATTATGTAGTTTTAAACATGTTTTGTAAACACACAGCAATTCTTCAGCCGATATCAAAGGCCAACTGTTGACGCCATCACTTGATGTCATTTGTCAGACTTCAAACGCCACAACAGTTGTGCCATCACTGCCACAAACAGTGACCACTTTCAGCGCCGACAGCCAATTGGTGGACATTACTAGCGATAAGTAAGTGTTTTTGTCTGTATTTTAAGACATTTTAAGTAATTTTTAACCAATTTTTTTATTTTTATTCAATACTCAAGTGATTCGGACTCTGATATCGAACTCATTGGCAGAGTTCCGGCGCCCAAACGGCCCGCACGTAACCGATCGGCCGTTGATATCAAGCCATCGCTCATAGACTCCATACCTCTGGTGCCGGAAATAGTCAACAAGTATTGTTACAACTCTTACAGTATTTATATTTAGTAAATGTGTTTATGTCTATCAGAGCGCCCTTAGCTGTCATAACGTTGATGAGCGCTGGCGATGAGCTAATCCGTGACATCGCGTCCGGTATACGAGTGGTTAACAAGCGTAAGGCGCCCGTAGATCCACGACCGGCCCCGAAAACGACCAGAATAACTGCACCCGACCTAATCCCATTGCACCCGTGCCCGTACGTGAGCTGCCGCCAGACATTTAAGACCCGATCATTACTGTCCACACATATGCTGTCCGTCCACAACGAGCACTGGAGGGCCGATCAGAGCTTTCCGTGCGATAAATGTCATCTCAAGTATAGCACAGGACTCGCCCTCGACAGCCATCAAGAGTTGGCGCACCCGACAGCCTCACCCGACCTGATCCCGTGTCCATACATTGTCTGTCATTTGACATTCACATCGCAATCATTACTGTCCAGTCATCTACAGTCCGTCCATTCGAACAAGGGGTGGTCGGCCGGTCAGCCGACGGCCTTGCGGTGCCATATATGCCAACTCAAGTACACGACACTACTGGCCTTCAATTGGCACCAGGCGTTGACTCACCCGAAGTCCGTGTCTACTCCTGTGCCCACCCCTAAGCCCATAGTGGATGAGTGGCACCACTGCTCGTACGCCGGGTGTTACGAGAAATATAAGACCCGGTTATTGGTGTTCATTCACATGCAGGACACGCACTCATACGGCACTGTCAACGCGTGGTCGGCCGGTGAGCGCCCGGCGGATGGCATTTATCTGTGCGATAAATGTCATCTCAAGTACCGGACAGTACTGCACCTGCGGATGCACCAGGCGTTGGCCCACCCGATGGCACCCGAGCTCAATGTGACCAACAATAACACGGGCTTCACGTGCGAGAAGTGCCACAAGCATTTCAATAGGATTGTGCCGTTTATGGCCCACGAGTGCAATGAGCAGTCGCCAGTCGTGCTGCCCCTAAAAGCCATATCCAAACCCACGCCAACCTCCGGCCGACACATACCCTGTGACGCGTGCGGCAAATTGTTTGGCTCCGACTCCGCCCTACAGATGCATAAAACGGCTAAAAATCATTGAATTATTGGCTTAATTAATGATTGGGTTATATTTGTTTTGATTCATTTGTTTATTTGCCATCGATTTGCATTAAATGCAATAAATTTTATTTCAACTTATATTAGATTTAGTTAAATATAACTCAAATTCAGTCAATGATTGCTACAAAATATTGATTAAACTACTCATAAATAAAACTATTTTAAAAATAATTTTTCACAAATTTGTAAAACATGTAATAAATAATTTATTTGTATAAATAAATGTGATTTTAATTATAAATTAACTCCTAATTGTTATTAAGGGGGCAATGAATACAGTATTAATATAAATCGGACGTAATTTATTGACAATGTTTATACTTTATGCATCACTTGTTATGCAATAAGTCGTAAATAAATATTTTTGTACACAAATTAAATGATTTTAATTAATAAATAGTATATAAATTGTATTTTAATTATAATAAAATTAAAATAAATACAAGTTTTAATCAATAAATTAAGTGATTATAAGTGATGTCCCGTTGACTCACTTTCTGGCCGTTTGTCTCCACAACACGTGTCTATTGTTTACGCCATGTGTTCGCCGGCGGACGACAGGTATGTGTGGCCACAGAGTCCTACCCCTAACCCCCAGTACTGCCACATATCCTCCAGACAACCCCTTATAACCTTCTGGATCTGCTTTGAGTGACAAATGTCTGTGTCTTCGCAGCCAATCGTTGACTTACGAGTCTATCATTGAGTCGTTTGTCCGCCAAAAGTCATTCAAATGTCATTACGACGGATGCGACAAAGGGTTCGCCACTCAAAGCCGATTGGATTCGCATATAAGCCGAAGACATGCCATCGATAGCAGCGCACAGTTCGGGGAACCGATCGGCGGATCATCTCATGTCAGACACCAGTCATTGAGTGTAGCACTCGATGGTATACAACAGATACCAGTCATCAATACTGCTGACACTTCACCGCCGCTGACAATAACCACAACCACTACTACTTCCAGTGCTGGCAGACAATCGGTGGACAACACTTGCGATACGTATGTATTTTGTATGCATTTGACTTACAGATAAGACATGCGGTATAATTATTTTTGCCGTCATTAATGAACACACAGTACTTCACCCGATGGCCACCAACTGAGGCCAACAAACACTACCACTAGTCCTACATTACCATTGATTACAAGCACTTTCGATACCAAAGATCAGTCTCAGAGCTCAACAATCAGTACAACATTCCCTTCATTTCCGCACACAATAACCACAACCACTGCTACTTCCAGTGCCGACAGACAATGGGTGGACATTAAGTACAATAAGTATGTTTTTGAGTTTTAAGACATTACGTAATTTTAAACATATTTTGTAAACACACAGCAATTCTTCAGCCGATATCAAAGGCCAACCGTTGACGCCATCACTTGATGTCATTAATCAGACTTCAAACGCGACAACAGTTGTGCCATCACTGCCACAAACAGTGATCACTTCCAGCGCCGACAGCCAATTGGTGGACATTAGTAGCGATAAGTATGTCTTTTTTGCCTCTATTTTAATCCATTTTAAGTAATTTTTAACCACTTTTTTATTCAATACTCAAGTGATTCGGACTTTGATATAGAACTCATTGGCAGAGTTCCGGCGCCCAAACGGCCCGCACGTAACCGATCGCCCGTTGATATCAAGCCATCGCTCATAGACTCCATACCTTTGGTGCCGGAAATAGTCAACAAGTATTGTTACAACTCTTATAGTATTTATCGTATATTTAATAAACGTGTTTACGTCTAACAGAGAGCCCGAAGCGGTCATAACTTTGACCGGCGCTGGCAATGAGCTAATCCGTGACATCGCGCCCGGCATACGGGTGGTCAAGAAGCGTAAGGCGCCCGCAGATCCACGACTGGCCCCTAAAACTACCAGAACACGTGCACCCGACCTGATCCCACGGCACCTGTGCCCATACATGGGCTGCCTTCAGACATTTAGGACCAAATCATTACTGTCCGCTCATCAAGCGTTGGCGCACCCGAAGCCCACCACCACTGAGAAACCCTCACCAGACCTGATGACGTGTCCATTCATTGTCTGTCTGCAAACATTCACATCGCAATCATTACTGTCCACTCATCTACAGTCTGTCCACTCGAACGAGCAGTGGTCGGCCGGTCAGCCGGCGGTTTTGCTGTGCCATATATGCGGCCTCAAGTATACGACACTAATGGCCCTCAACCGGCACCAGGCGTCGGCGCACCCGAAGCCAGTGTCGCCGGTGTCTACCCCTGTGCCCACCCCTAACCCTATAATGGATGAGTACCACCACTGCCCGTACGTCGGCTGTAACGAGAAATATAAGACCCGGTTATTGGTGTTCATTCACATGCAGAACACCCACTCGTACGGCACTGTCAACGAGTGGGCGGCCTGTGATCTCCCGGCGGCCACTTATATGTGCGACAAATGCGATCTCAAGTACCGGCTATTACTGCACATTCGCGTACACCGGGCGTTGGCTCACCCGATGGCACCCGAGCTCTATGAAAGTGGCTTCACATGCGAGAAGTGCCACAAGAGGTTCAATAGGATTATGCCGTTTATGGTCCACGAGTGCAATGAGCGCCCGCCACCGGTGCGGCCACTAAAAGCCAAACCTAAACCAAAGCCTAAGCCAAACCTCGGCCGACACATACCCTGTGACGCGTGCGGCAAATTGTTTGGCTCCGACTCCGCCCTAGAAAACCATAAAAAGGATAAAAAGCATTGAATTATTGGATTAATTAATGATTGGGTTATATTTGTTTTGATTGATTTGTTTATTTGCATTTAATTTACTTAATTATAACGTAAAAAATCACTTGAATTTGTTTTTTTACACTCATTGATTACAATAAACATATTATTTTATATATATTTAAATTATATTTTAAACAAATCTTTTAATTGTGAAAATGCAGATATTATAATCTATGGTTCTATTATAAGTGTTGGAATGTATTCGTTTAGATTTTACCATGCTGGTATTTAAATAAATGAGCTTTTAATAAACAAGTATTAGCGTAACATGATATATTCAAATAGTCATTTATAAAATGCTATTTCAATTAAATGTATAAATACAATGACATTAACATAATTCAATTGTCCGGCCATTGAGTCCAATGGCAGTCTTGTTTGTGTGCATTCAATAGCGATAAACTACTAAACTCTGTGCGACAGCCGTCGTAATCGCACGGGTAGTTCAGGTGTAGGCGCTCTCTATAGTCGCGGTCGCAGTGTTGGACACTCGGGTCGCGTAGGTCTACATCACAGGCCGGGGCGCCAAAAAGTGGCGCACATTTATGGGCCGTAAGCGCCCGTAGGGTTAGGAACCGGGCGTCGCAGTCGCGGCACTCGAGTTCACCGTCGCATTCATCGGATGGTGTCGACTGTCCGCTCCGGGATGTGCTGCCGGCGATTGACTCACTATCCAGAGTACGGCTCTCTATCAGTTCGCCGGCACTTTCCGCCGCCGGTGTCGGTAATAAAGCATTTCGCCCGCCGTCTCGGCCAGTGTTGGCCACCGATGGCTGACTATTAAGCGTACGGCTGTCTATGCGGTGACTTTCAAACAGCCGTAAGTGTCGATTCAATAGGGCTTTACTGGCGTACGGGTTGGCGCAGCCCTCGTAGCGGCACCGATAGGTGATTGATAGGCAATGGTTGGTGGCCTTCGTATCGGTCGCGGCCGCTGTACCCGCACTGGTCTTCGCGACTGCGGACGTGGCCTGAGATCGACTGGTGGTACCGGCGCTGGTCTTTAGACTACTATCCGTATGGCCAGCGATGCGATGACTTTTAAACTCAATTAAGTGCAGATTCAACAGGTATTTAGTGGCGAATGTGTTGGCGCAGCCGTCGTATCGGCACCGGTAGGTCAGCGGTTGGTCGCAATGGGCGTACAGTTTGTGGTGTTTGAGATTGTATTCGTAGCGAAACCTTTTGGTACATTTGTCGCACCTGAACACCGGCTTTGCGGCCACCGGTGCTGTGCTATCGGTGGCGGCGGTGTTGGGGGTCGTAATGTAAACAGTATCGGTCGCCGTCGTTGTCGTACCCGTACTGGCCTTTGGCACTGTCGACGTGGCCGGCGATCGTCTGGCGGTACGGGTGCTGACCTTTAGCCTACTATTGAGAGTACGGCTGTCTATGCGGTGCTCTATTAAGTGTAGATGTAATAAGTATTTAGTGCCGTAAGCGTTGTCGCAGCCCTCGTAACGGCACCGGTAGGGCAGTGCCAGACTATGGGCGGACAGTTTGTGTTGTATTAAATTGTATTCGTAGCGAAACCTTTTGGCACATTTGTCGCACCGGAACACCGGCTTTGCGGCCACCGGTGCAGCGCTATTAGCGGCCGCAGTGGTCGGTACGGAAGCATTGGTCGCCGCACTAGTACTCGCTTTCGGAACTACTGATGTGAATGGAGATCGAGTGCTAGTCTTCGGGACTATAGGTGCGGCTAAAGATCGGGTGGCACTTGTGTTGGGCGCCCGTCGATGAACAGTGAGTTTGTGTTGTTTGAGATTACGTTCCCAATGGAAACGTTTGGGACATTTATCGCACTTGAAAGCCGGCGTCGTATGTGGCGATCGGTCCGTACCGTCGGTAGTTGTCATAGACGGACCGGTGCTGGAAGTAGTGGCCACCGGTTGTACGGGTAGCGGATCAGTTGCGGTCAACACCGGCCAGTCGTTAAGGAAAGTGCCGGTCGTGTTCTCCGGCACCCGTATGTCATTCACCGCCGTCGAGCCGATGGTGTCGAGCGCTGGAATCGTTTCGCTGATAACGTCACTGATGTCTGTGTCGGTGAGCGTTACGCCACCCGTTGTGAGTTGAGAGCGAGTAGTGGTCACAGATATAGTGCTATCAATTGAAACGGTTGGTAGATCTGGAGCCGATGTCAACAAGTGGTCGTGCTTTTGATGGACAGACATCTTATGCTTTTGCAGTATCTCTTCGGTGGCAAACATTCCAAAGCAGTCCATATAATCGCATTCGTATTGACATATCTTTAACGTTGGTTTGGGAACCGATTGGTCGACAATAGGCTCGGAATGGAGACGAAGTTTGTGCAGATTTAGCAGCTTTTTGGTGACAAAACTTCGTCCACAGTCTTTGGCATCGCATTTGTGATAATCACCGCAATGTTTGCCCTCATTGTGGCCGTCGGGCGCCGACCGACTCCCGCGAAAGGCCAACGGAACGGTCACTTCAAGACTATCAGCCTTTTGGCGGCCGTTCCGCACGTGATAGTGATCGTCACGTTTATGGGCGTAGAGTTGTGTCTCGCGGCCAAAACTCTGGCCACAGTCGGCCCGATCGCAGACAAACGGCAGTTGTTTTCCGTGTGCTCTATGGATGTGCTCTTTGATGGCCGACCTGTGATCGAAATACTGGTCACACCCGCTGTACTCGCACTCGTAGCGCACGCGCAGATCGTGCTGCCGGCGCTGATGGTGTACGTAATCAAACGCCCGGTCATACTGTTTGCCGCATCGCTTGTCAAGTGGTCGGTGCGGGTCGTCGTAATCACACCGATATGGGTGGCGCTCGCCGTGAATGACATACTGGTGTTCGTTGTATTCATACCGGTTGTGGCCAAATGGCTGCCGGCATTCGCGGCACTCGTACTCCGGCTCACTATCGGCCTGACTCTCGTCGTCTATCAGTTCTCCGTCACTCAAAGTACTGCTTCTTCCTCTTGTTCTTCTGCGCCGTTCACTCGTCGTCGACGACACCGTCGGCAACGGCTCCGGGAGTTGACTACTGGCTGAGTGAGCGCTGCCATCGCGTGACGTCAAACTCCGAGAGCGACGGGTGGTGTCCGTCGCGGTAGAGGTGGACGCCTTCGGCGGCGATCGGACGACTGTTTTCAAAAAACTAGTAGTTTTAGATGCCATGCGTTTAGACACGTCTCGCAGTAAACCGTCGAATGGCGTTAAAGAGTGGTCACTATTGGCGTCGGAATCGCTATCGCTGTCCGAATCGGTGAAATCAACGCCGCGTTTGGCGCGAAACGCTTCCCGTAATCGCTTTTTGCGGCGCCGGTAGTACTCGAGCGTCAAGTGTCGCTCCCTTTGCGGACCGATCGGCGCCGGAATCGACTCTTTGACCACTTTTTTGCCACAATTTCTGCAATATTTATAAACAAATTAATTAACAATCGATGCAATCGTATGTGTAATGACATACTTGTGACCAGAGTTCGGCGTTGGGTTACTCTCTGTGCTTGAAATGGATGAAAATGATTGGTTAGTGTCATCCGCCGGTGCCGTCAAATGTGCGCTCAACTCTTGACCACTGTTTACACCCATCTCTTGCCTAACAATCACTTCTTCGATAGTATTTGTGACACTTTTTCTGATTATAAAAAGCAAATAATCAAAAAATAATTTATGTTTTAATATACAAATAAAAACATTAATTTTACTTATGATTAGTTGTGGCTATTCTTTGGCTATCGGTGTCTGAAATGATGGCACCGATAGGTGTTGTGCCAACACATGACTGTTCAGCTCTATTAGCGTTTGTATTGTCATTCACTATCAGTGGCGGTATTTGAGTGACAATTGGTTCAACACTAGCCGTCTCTTCGGTTTGAGTGCTTAAAGTGGTGGCCAATGACTGGTCAGACACTGTGTGTAGACTCGGATCTATTAGCAGAGGCTTAACATCAATAAGTGTTTGGTCGGACATATCATTTTTCAACTGTTTGATGACTAGTTGGCCGACAATATGTGATACACTATCACCCGGTGCTAGACTGGCATTATTAGAGGTCATATCGGGAGCCGAGTTGTCCGCAATTGGTTTCATATCCGGTTTAATATCCGATTTGATATCAAGTTTTACGTCAGGTTTTACTTCAGGTTTGATATCGAGTGCTATAACACTGTTTAAGACAAGCAATCATTAGATATCATAAACAATCAGTTAAATCACTGTCACGTAATTGGATCAATAGTCATACGTATGATCTTCAGCGGCGATCAATGGCTTAACGTCGTGGTCATCGGCAGCCGACGCGGTGTTGGCGCCAATCAGATCGGACACCCGGTCCACCAATGAGTCAAAATTCTTGTAAAACTCTTCGTCGGGAAGCGGGTCGTCGGCCGGCGGGTCAGCGCCGCCTTCGGGCGGGTCTAACAAATCAGTGCTAAATCACGCAAAACAAAGTCAGTGTCAAAAGAGCTATAATTGCCAGCAATGTGTGACACATACCTGTCATCGATGTCCGATATTTCCATATCTGAGTGAACCGGTGTTATCGTAGGGCTGGTGTCGGCCGACGCCCCGGACAGCCGTCTCACTCTATTGGGTACGATGTGTGCCATCGCCAGCGCCCGTATGGCTGTGTCTACGGCTGTGGCGATGGGCG